CATTAGTCGCAGTATGGCAGTTTCAGTTGAAAGCCCCGGCCTGAAACCAAACTGAGCCTCATGTAGGTGAATGTGTTGGCTGAGTTGCTAGTCAAGCAAACCGTCCAGCACCTTTGCAATTACAGTAGCCAAAGATATTGGGCGATAATTGGACCCAACGGAGGCATCACTAGTCTTATTTTTTAATATTGGTACAACTATGGTTTTATAAGCTCTCCAGGTAAGTACGTATGACCTAGACATAGGTTAAACAATAGAGTTACCACCCTCGGCAAATGCATGTTGCAAGTGCTCAATGCTGAGGTCATCGTGACTAGGGGACTTTCCCCTAGTCATCCCATTTATAACACTAACTATATCCTCAGTTTTAACCCTGTTATATTTTCTACTTATTTCTTGTTCAGCATTGAGCTCTTGCTGAGTCGAAACAATTGAGGACTTAACCTTAAAAAGATCTTTAAATAATTCAGTTATCTTAGCTGGCTCATGTTGACCCTGGACGCTAGCTGGGACACATAACTCAGTATTAAACTTTTTTGTGTGTTTCAGAATGCAATGAAGTCTTTCGACTTATGATGTTTGACCAAAATGTCCTGTTTGATTTGTGTCTCATTATCTTGACAGCACTTAAGTCGAGACTTAAAACGCTTTCTGGTCTCACACATTTTCATACAAAACGCCAGATGTAGGTTTGCCATGTAGAATACACATCTGGTAACAAATTCGAGCTTCACTATGTATTTCCCTTACATGCCTGTTCCACCCAGCTATATTTATTATTTTATTACAACAACGAACTTTATAACTATTTACTGCAGCTTCTCTTAATTTATTAACAATAGAGCTATATAAAATATCAATATGTGCTTTATGCTCCACATTACTACATATTATACGTTCGACGGATTTATACGAAAACCGGTTTGGAATTTTTTTTTACTTTTTGGCCAATTTAAACTAAGATATTTTCGGCTTACGGCCAATGAGCAGTGTATACAATAAAAGTTCTAAGTCGTAGCACCTTAGCGAGTCAACTTATGTGGCTCCGACAGAATATCAGCGCTACGGTAAATCTGTTACTGTAATAATAATGTTCTCCAGACCGAATTTCGATCACGGAGGCCAGTTTAAAAAAATACTATATACTCTCTAATTCCTCACTCACATAGTCCGATGGATCGGTTGTCCGACACGACCGGAGAGAGATTAGGCGTAGGACCAACGACTTTACGTGCTTTCCGAGGCACGGGATGAGACACCGTCTACCAGATTTCGGGCTGCAACTAATAATTTCTTACAGAAAAATCCAATAATTGATTTTAGTCACGACCGGGGATGCGAACCCAAGACCTCGTGAACAGCAATTGCATTAGATAATACAAAGGGTCGTCGAAAAGAGCAGAACAAAGTTTTTCTGGCCAGCTAGTGTATATAGACGACGTTCTAGTTTTTTTTTTTTATAGGATTAGGGTGACAAACGAGCACACAGTCCATCTGGTAAGTGGTTGCTGCGGCCCATAGACATCTACATCTATCCTCTATTACAAATCAAAATGCAGATGCGTTGCCAGCCGTGAGGACTAAGGTGGAATGCCTCATTTCCAGTAATAAGGGTTTCCGGTTCTCTACACTCACCATACGAAACACAGCAGCATTAAGCTGCTATTTTACGCTGGTATTCTGTGAGAGCGTGGTCCTTCCCCGGTCGAACCGACCCATTCGTGCTACAACTACACTACTAACTAATATAGCTGCAGCAAAACTCTACCACGTAAAAAATGTTGTTACATAGTAAAGAATTAAAGCTCCGACTTTAGAACGTGAAATTATTTAATTTATTTTAAGTTTTTTGCAATCTGCTTTTACCTAGTATCAAAATATCATTATTTATCTTTGTTACGCTTGCTGGCTGATAGCCATGGAAGGTCCCTATTGTCCCTCCATGAGATGAGTGAGTCATCGTCATCCCGCGCAGGGTGTGAGGACGTCCCGACACTAGTTAACCAACCCATCGCTCACTTTATTCGGGGCACGTTCCTATTATTCAGGTTTATTGCTACGCCTCTCAGGGTTGCACCTACGTGAAATTGATACGTAGTATGTATTTAATTATTAGTTTTTAAAATTTTCCGTTCTCTGTTATTGTGGTAAAAAACACAATTGTTGCGTATAGGTTTAGTATGTTAACTTTTTAATACTTAACCAAATTGTATTGATTTTAAATTACATTCTTCTATACATTTATTAGAGGGCTAGTAGTACTAGTTTTTAAATACTTAAATACAGCGTTAATGAGTAATATGAGGTTACGTAAGATAATTATATAATTAAAATAAACAATACGAACTTTCATTTTTATGAAATAATAACGAAATGAATAAGATTCAAGTTGTTATTCTTAGACATTAAATCTATTTTATAATTTTACAATGTACCGATATATTCCATGACCTTGTTTCACTTCTTAGAAATATAAAACTTTTAACGGAACTATGCCCTGCGTGCGATGTAATAACTATCTCTAGTCCAATGGGTGATATGTAAATCGGCTTAAGGAAGTGCTGGGCCAGCTGACAGGAAACAATCTTATTTGTTACGCGATCCAGGTGTCTTAAACGTAACTCTTCTTGGACTGCAATCTCTTCTTATCTGCTTATTAACTTAGTTTGGAAATAATTAATTATCTTTAACTGTGGAATGATTTGAGGGTTTTGTGAGATTTCACGAATATCTCATACTATTAACCATACATGAATTTCACGGTTGCAACACCAACTGTAACAACAAACACTATAAACCGTCCATAAAACTCCCATAACCGCGTCGTAACCTAATTTGTTGGTAATTAACAGTAACTTGCACAACAAGCACACGGGTTGTATCCGAGGCAGCCCTGCGTATCCGCGTACGAGATAAATTTAGTACCACTGAAGTGGAAATCCACGGATACGGCTTTATATACAAATTCGTTAAGAGGACACCGCGAAAAAATGCACCTCCTTTCATCGCATAGTATAGGAGTATGACACGACTAACGAAACTGGAATTTTGATATAGGTAAATTCATGTCTTTATCTTGAATTTGCTTGCTCAAAAACACGATTGTAAAATTTTGACTCGATCATAATTGTTTGCGAAAACACCTCTAAAAATAACTATAGTTGAAATTGCAACGAAATTACTTAATCTATATGCTTGGCAACCACTCAAATACATCCATAACATCAATATTCGTAATTTACTTGCTCATTATTTTGATTACTAAAATCAATAATTTTTTAAAAATATTTTAAGATACTAAGCGATTTCTAAGCGGTCTTAATCGCCGCGGGCGCTACGCTATTTTAGACCTTATGACGGCGTTTTTGAAGTTTTTATAGAAATTATGTTTCACTCTGGTTAGTCCGGCCTTAAGTATTTGTTTTTATTCAAATCCTTCAATTCATTCATGCAATACGTTAAGTAGTAAAGCCATACTGCAGCTATATTATGGTTGTAGCACGAATGGATAGGCTCAACCGAGGAAGGACCACGCTCTCACAGATTATCAGCGTCAAATACCAGAGTGACCTGATAGTAAGTGGTTACTGTGGCCCATAGATAATTACATCTATCCTCGATTATAAATTAAAAAAATGCAGATGCGTTGTCACCCGTGAGGACTAAGATGGAATGCCTCGTTTCCAGTTAAAAGGGTCTCCGGTTCTCTACACTCACTATACGGAACAGCAGCATTGAGTGGCTATTTTACGCTTGTATTCTGTGAGTGCGTGGTCCTTCCCCAGTCGAGCCGACCCATTCGTGCTACAACTATAACTACTAATATAGCTGCAGCATGACTTTACCACGTAAAGCCATGCTGCTCGTTTCTCATGAGAACATGCATGTTATATATGCTCGTTTGTCACCATTTTTCTGTAAAAAAAAAATACATCCCATCATAAGTCTAGTGCCGAATATAAGTTATTACGCTTGGCGTGCGGGTTGGTAACTGTAGTTTTTTTTTTTAAATTATTAGGTTCTTTTCGCGAAGATGCTGCTGGCCTTCTCCTGATTCAATTTCCATTTGTCACCTCTTACGACTTCCACGGCATGATATGAAGTAGTGGATTCTATTACGCCGCCGCTACATGACGTACCGTTACTGTTACACTCTTAAAGATTAAAAACTGCAAATTTGCCATAGTTGCCACGCATGGCAGGCGGGTCGGCAAACGCAGTTGTTTATTTTTATAGTTGTTTTTAGGAAGACGCTGCTGCCCATCTCCTTATTTGTTTTCCTCTGTCGCCTCTTACGACACCCACGGGATAATACGGAGTAAGCGACATTACCTAAGAGAGTTCTAATCTTAAATATTAGCTTTTACGTGTTATTTATTGAACTAAAAGAGTTATTACGTCTTTCCATCCAATATTATACATTTTGATAAAATAATTATTATTCTTAATGACATTATTTTCCACGCGTATACATAATTATTTAAACTTTCTTTTTACTTTTATTAATGTTTTATACTCCAATTAAAATATCTTTTAATGGGAATGAATTTACTTATAATGAAGATACTTTTATATTTAAGGCATGAATGAAAAAAAAAATAGATACAAGTTAATATACAATTATATAATTGAATAATATAAAATACTCCAACATACAATAATAAGTTGTTGCTGTGATGCCATATCCAATCAGCTGACAATTCTCACATCGGGCGTCCTCCCGCCGGTCATGTTCCCGCGCGGCCTCAGTCTCTCCCGATGCTCCAGAGCGTGTTTTGCTGTCGCAAGGTCTCTGCGAATCACTTTGCATCCCTGTGTCGCCCATTTCGCATGATCACTGCATTTCAGATGTTACAAAATCGCGCTATCTATTTCGCTATGTAGCCTGAAGCCATTCCGAAATGTAGTTTTTAGTGTAGTGTAGTGTAGGTGTTAGTAAAGCGTTTGTGTGGACGTCTGATGGGTGGGTGATGTTTGTGTTCTTTAGGAAGTGCATTGCAATGGGCCTGCCCGATCTAACGGTAAGATTTTTTCTCGATAACGAAATATTGCTATATTTCTTTGTACTGTACCAACAAGAAAATATTATAATGATTACTTATATTTATGCGAATAGTATACATAGAATAAATCTAATTTTCAGGATTATATCGCGTTTAATTTTAACTTTTTTAATTCCTGACGTTTCAAGCACTTTACAGTAGGTACCTATAACACACAGTCAGAGGGAGGGGGAGTAGAGGTGCTGATGTCATAGTTAACGAAGGCTACCTTTAATTTTTTATTATAATTTTTTTTGGTCGAATATACGCAAGTATGTTCTACGTAGAATTGAAAAGTTAAAACTAAATACTATATTTCGTATTTATTTATTTATTTGTGATTTTATTTATTTTTAATGCTATAAAATCCGTAAATAAATATTATTTGCATATTTTGATTTTGTCATAAAATTACATATAATAGATTTATTAGTATTAAAATAAACCATTTTCTTCCAATTTCATAACATATTTTTTACACATATTTTTTATTTTTCCTGTACATATACATACGCTTTGTTTTGTTAAACAGTAATGACGCATGATCTAGCTTATTATTGATCAAAGACTTAAAGCATCAAATAGTGACGAATGTTATTTTATAAGTGGTAAAGCCATGCCACAGCCATATTGTGGTTGTAACACGAATAGGTCGGCTCAACCTGGGAAGGGTCACGCTCTCACAGAATACTAACATATCTTCAGGGGTTACAACGCATTATTCATTTTGATTCTTAACCGTGGACGTGGATAAATGTAGATGTCTATGTGCCACACTTACCATGAGGTGGACTGTGTGCACGCTTGTTACCCTAATTCTATAAAAAAAAAAACAAATTACATACGATAGCCTTAATATTAAAATAATAAAATATGTTCTTTGTTTAGTTTGACTGATTAGAAATACGCTCTGCAACCTTATTAATGACAAAAGACTTGAAGCATCAAATTGTGATCGATACTAATTAAGACTTTAGCTTATTTTTTTTACTTAGTCTTCATTTTACTGCATTTGCATTGAGTATTCTCAATTAAACGTCAATCGGCGCCGGTCAATTGGCAACGTGATCTTTAACGTCGCGACATCATCGGAGATTTGTTTGTGCGCCAAGGTTTCTTGTTTTGTTCTTTGTGTCAAACACTACGCGCTGCCAGGAACAGCATTTTAAAATAAAAAGCTATTACGAATATCACTGATTGTACACAGTTTTTGTATTTAAAAATGACTAGCAATGCTATTTAAAAAAACCACGTTAACCGCTCATCATCAAAGTTGAAAGTCAAGGTCAAAATATTTTTCAAATGCTACGTCATCGCTTCAACAAGTTCGTTCTGCGGGAGACCTTGTGAAAAGAAGCGGCAAGAAACTCACAAGTAGACTATTTTTCTCCTAACAGTTACAATTTAACATACCTACATACATACATACATAAACACTCACGCCTGTCACCCAGAGGGGTAGGCAGAGACTATGGACTTCCATTTGGCACGATCCTGACACACCTCTCTCGCTTCCTCCACATCCATATACCTACGCATACACGCTCGTCGGTTAAAGGTACTCTTGATTTGGCCCATTTTGGTGCCTATAGTTGCCTATAGTTGCCTATAGTTGCCTTACAATTTAACATTATAAAATATAATATGTTAAATTCACAAAAATAGAAAGCTCAATGTCCAATTATTCGTATCATTTAAATAATCATCTAATATAGACATAATACTAATTCCATTAGAGTGCTTTTTACATGTGTTTTGAATTTATTTAAAAGCAAACCAGTAATATTTTAGGGAGTCATACCTACATCTACCCAAAAACGAGCCGCTCATCATCATCATCATTAGTCATCATTACATCCAAGCACAAGTCCGCTGCAGAGCATTGTCCTTCTCCACAAAGCTTTCAGTTTGAGCCATCTGCATCCATCGACTTTCTGTATATCTTACCAGTTCGTCGCTTCTTTAGTGGCGCCTGCCCTACATTTCGCATGCCGTTACAAGGCTACCACTCGAGAACCTTTCATCCCCAACCGGATAGATTCTTTGAGCTACATGGCTCATTGTTACCGTCAGCTTACTGATCCGTAAACCGCTCCAACTATACTTAGTTGCTTGTACTGGGGGCGGTTAACCACAGTAGTCGAATTCGAACCCTCGACTTTTTAGGTCGAAAAGACTGCCTGTAAAAGTCCCTAAACGAGAAGGTCTACACCGTTACTGTTAACGTTACCGTTACAGCCTATTATAGTCCACTGCTGAACATAGGCCTCCACCCTAGATTGCTTCATAGGGGAGATATTTGCCATAGTTGCCAAGCAGGTTAGCAACCGCAATTTTTTTTAGTCGTTCTTAGGAAGACGCTGCTGCCCATTTCCTGATTTGTTTCCCCTCCGCCGCCGCTTACGCCACCCACGGGATAATATGGGGTAGTGGATATAACTACACGATTTCGTAATAACCCTGCTTCACTCCCTGTAAAGCCGGTGCGATTCACCAGTAATGTCTTGTACGTCGTCATTATCAGCCAGTTAAGTCCACTGCTGGACATGTGTCTACGCAAAGAGTTGTGGAAAGAATTTGCTTTAGTCTTCACGCTTGATGGCGGATTGATTGTTGCATTAGCAAATAGATATATAACACTATAGGAACAAACAAAAAGGAGAAAATGGGCGGTTATATCGCTATAAGCGATCTCTACCAGACAACCTTTAGATGGACAAGATTGCAAGAAAACAATAAAAACATTTGTGTGGTTTGGCGACAACAATAACATTATTGACGTCAGACGTCTTCATTAGTAATAAACATTAGTAAAATTGGCATAGTGTTTCGCGAAACTGCATAGCGTTGGATCGAAACAAGATGACGTTTCTCATTCGTTTTTCATCATCGATTATATTTTCATTAAGAATTTAATGTCGGAAGTCAAACTACTAATAGACTATAATAGTTTGTCATTGAAACTAGGCCAAATCTAGCACAACTTACACTTCGCGTATTATGTTTTCTGGTGCTTGTATAACTTTTCTGTTACGATCTCATTGGCTTTCGCTTCTTCGTTGTTGATTTTCATCTGGAATCACCAGCTTAATATAAGCATCACAGCTATTTAACTAATGATCACTTGATAACCCACCTTTTTCTTTATACATATAGAACTAGCTGTTTCCCGCCACTTCATGCGAGTGGAATTTATTACGAATAGATTTCATTGATTATAATGTTTTCTAAAATTAAAAGTATCCTAAGTTACTCCTTATAACATCAGCTATCTGCCAGTGAAATTCTCGTCAAAACTGGTCCAGCTATTTCGGAGATTAGCCGAAACAAACGTACAGACAGACAGATTTTTTTATTATAAGCATCGTATATACTTTCATATACATTTACTAAGAAAGCTGTTATTTTGACATTACAAACAGACACATCAACTTTATTTATATGTATAGAAAAGGGTGACAAACGAGCACAGAGTCCAGCTGATGATGTGGCCCGTAGACATCTATCCTTGAATAATGATTCTTATTCGCTGATTACTAAGATGGAGTACCTCGTATCCAGTTAAGAGGGGTATCTGGTTCTCTACACTTACGATACGAAACTTAGCAGCATTAAGCTGCTATTTTACGCTTTATTCTGTGAGAGCGTGGTCCCCCTCGGTTAAGCGGACCCATTCGTGCCACAACCATAATATTCAGCATGGCTGTTACCACGTACGATCGTTTTCGTAAGATTACGACGACATTGATATTTGCAAACTGAACTGACCTATTACTCTTTGTGCATCTCGTGAGTAACAGGTGAACTAGGGCGTATGGGTAAAATTAACTCGACAAAACGCGGCCGTACAGTCGTGAAGTAGAATTAGCGCCGGCAGTTAACTGTTTGTTTTGTGAAATCTGGATCGAACATGTGGCAATATCCTTAGTGTTGAATCAAACACAATTGTTAAAAGTTTATTTTGAGTGTTATTAATCATACATAATGACTGTTTTTTCTTAAAAGGTACATGTTTGCACTTTAACATTGGCTTTGTTGTTTGTGCTGTAAAGATAAGAATTAACAGAATGTGTTATAAAAATTAAAAACATTCCTGTTCAATGAAAAGTATACACTATACTTGTTACTGTACACTGTATAACTAGACATATATGTAATTTTATTTGATTTTATTCAAATTTGATTTAAAGGTATTTTAGAACGCAAATCTGTTATTGAAATGTAAAAAAAAAAACAATTTGTTTATTCTTGTATAGTTTCGATATTCTTGAATTTGAATTCGGCTTTTTATAAAGTTCGTCTCCTTTGTTCAAATCATTTTATTTTTATTAAAGGCAATTGAGAGATAGATATAAATGATTAGAACATTTTCAACTTCAGTTCATATATGGAGGACGTTATTAGAAATGTTTAATAATAACACGAAATTCATAAAAAATTATAGTAAAAACACGAAAGTTAAGTTCAATTATTGTGGATTTATGCTAATTTCCCTGTAGTGGCGGTTGCGAATATCCACTAGCCCATATCTTCCCGTGGGTGTCGTAAAAGGCGACAAAGGGAAACAGGCAGGAGATGGGCAGCAGCGTCTTCCTGATAACAGCAAAAGTACAATAAAAAAAACTGCGATTGCCAACCCGCTCGCCAAGCGTGGCAACTATGGCAAATACCCCCCAATGATTAGAGCAACAAAGAGACGGCCGCCAGTCCCCGGCGGCTCCGCTATTTCTGGCTACGGTGGCGACCATGGTAACGGCGGGGCAGTGGGTGCTAAGAATCTCCGGTGGAGGTTCGGTTGCCAACTAAGACTACTCGACCTGGCAACATACAACGCACGCACCCTGAGGACTGACGAGAAGATTGTGGAGTTGGAAGAAGAGATAGACAAGTTACGCTGGCATATTATAGGATTATCCGAAGTCCGAAGAGAGGGGGAGGACACGGTAATCCTCGAATCCGGCAACTTGCTCTATCACCGGGAGGGCGACCATCTGTCCCAAGGAGGTATCGGATTCATCGTCGACAAGTCTCTCGTTAACAACGTTGTAAAGATTGAGAGTGTGTCGACGAGGGTTGCGTACCTTATACTCAGAATCACCAAACGGTATTCGCTGAAGGTCATACAGGTTTACGCACCAACCTTGGCACACCCCGATGAGGAGGTGGAGGAAATGTATGAGAATATCTCTAGAGCCATGCATTCCTCCAAAACCCACTATACGATGTTAATAGGAGACTTCAATGCAAAACTAGGCACTAGAGGGAACGGTGAGCTGAAAGTAGGGAAATTTGGAATAGGGCAACGGAACCCAAGGGGCCAGCAGCTGGTCGACTTCATGGAGAAAGAGGGACTCTTTATGATGAACTCTTTCTTCCAGAAGCGGCCCCACAGGAAGTGAACCTGGTCGAGCCCCGACGGTTCGACAAAAAATGAGATTGACTTCATTATGACGACCAGACGACAACTGTTCAGTGATGTCTCCATGATTGCGAGGGTGAAAACTGGTAGCGATCACCGAATGGTTAGAGGCACACTGAACCTAAACGTTAAGTTGAAGAGGTCTCGTCTAATGAATTCGCTCCGTCCCCCTCGTGCTCTGTTCCAAAGTCCCGAAACCTTTCAGCTCGAGTTACAAACCCGTTTTCAGTGCCTAGAAGATTGCAATGAAGTGGACGATATGAATGACAAGCTCGTGGAAACTGTCCATGCGGTCGGAACTAAGTTCTGCAAGACCCGCCGCAGACGAACACAAAAACTCTCCGATCACACTCTTAATCTCATGGCTGTTAGACGGGAGATGAAGCTATATTCTTCAACAGATTTGACAGCATACAGGCAAGTGAACAGACAGATCTCCAAATGCATGCGGCGGGACTTACGCAACTGCAATACAGCTTGTATTGAAGAAGCGATCGAGCGGAACCAACGCTCCAAATTCTTTGCCTGAGATCTGTCTGCCAGAAAGAGCCAACTGTCAAAGCTAAAGACCGAGTGTGGCAGCATCGCTTCCGGGGCACCTGAGATTTTGAGTGAGATTGAGAGGTTCTATGGGCAGCTGTACACGTCATCGTTGGAGCCACACGCAAGTGTGAGTAACGATCCAAGAGCGAGTCTTATCCGACACTATTCCGAATATATTCCGGATGTCAGTCTGAGCGAGATTAGAATGGCTCTCCAGCACCTTAAAAACGGCAAGGCCCCAGGCGAGGATGGAATGAACAGCGGAGCTTCTGAAAGCGGGTGGAAGATCCGTACTTGAAGTCCTACAGAAGCTCTTTAATTCCGTCCTTCATGGTGGCATTACACCGGAGGCGTGGAGTAGAAGTGCGGTGGTCTTGTTCTTCAAGAAAAGTGACAACGCTCTCTTAAAGAACTACAGACCAATTTTCCTTCTGAGCCGCGTCTACGTGCTGTTTTCGAGAGTCATTACGAATCGTCTCGCGCGCAGACTTGACGACTTCCAGCCTCCCGAACAAGCCGGTTTCCGAAAGGGCTTTAGCACCATAGACCACATACATACCCTTCGGCAAATCGTACAGAAGTCCGAGGAGTACAATTTGCCACTATGTCTGGCGTATGTGGACTGTGAGAAAGCCTTTCATTCCGTCGAAATTTGGGCGGTGCTGCAGTCCCTTCAGCGGTGCCAAGTTGACTGTCGGTATATCGAAGTGCAGAAGTGCTTGTACAATAGGGCTACGATGGCTATTCGAGTACAGAACCAGAGGACGAAACCTATCCAATTGCAGAGGAGGTGTAAGACAGGGTGATGTTATATCCCCGAAACTCTTCACCGCTGCATTGGAAGACGTTTTCAAGCTTCTGGACTGGAAAGGATACGGTATTAACATCAATGGCGAGTACATCACTCTCCTTCGATTTGCCGACGATATAGTTCTTATGGCAGAATCGCTGGAGGACCTAAGCACCATGCTCAATGACCTCAATAGTGTCTCCCAACGGATAGGTCTTAAGATGAACATGGACAAAATTCAATCAATCATTTTTAATGTCCATGTCACACCTATGCCGTTAGTTGTTGGGAGCACTAAGCTCGAAGTTGTTGACGAGTATGTTTACCTGGGACAAATAGTCCGACTAGGTAAGTCCAACTTCGACCGAGAGGTCAATCGACGGATTCAACTCGGCTGGGCAGCGTTCGGGAAGCTACGACACATCTTCTCGTCAGACATACCTCAAAACCTTAAAACGAAATTGTACAACCAGTGCTTGTTGCCAGTGATGACTTACGGAACTGAGACGTGGTCCTTCACTGCTGGCCGTATGAGGAAGCTCAAGGTCGCTCAGCGAGCTATGGAGAGGGCTATGCTCGGAGTTTCTCTGCGTGATAAACTTAGAAATGAGTATATCCGCAGTAGAACCAGAGTAACCGACATAGCCCATCGGATTAGTAAGCTGAAGTGACAGTGGGCCGGCCATAAAGCTCGAAGAACCGACAACCGATAGGTAAGAAAGGTTTTAGAGTGGTAGTCTCGTACTGGTAGGCGAAGTGTAGGGCGACCCCCCACGAGATGGAGTGACGACCTGGTAAGACATGCAGGAAGTCGATGGATGCAGATGGCTCAGGACCGTGCTTTGTGGCATTCCTTGAGGGAGGCAGTGGACTTATGAAAGGCTGTAATGATGATCCTAATTTCACTTACTATCTAGAACGAGATTTCAGAAACTTTTCAAGAAAATGTATGTATGTACCTTAGGAAGATAATGCAGTTAGCTAGGGATCGTTTTGAGAAAGTAGGTTAAAGGATTCTATTAGACTGGTCAGTACTGTTATTGGGCAGTTAGTTTCGTCAGGTTCATTTGCGTTCTTTTTATAGAAAAAAGAGTGACAAACGAGCATTTTATGGCAAATGGATGCTGTGGTACATGTACCTGAAAATGAAAATGTAAATGCGTTATCACCAACGAGAAAGAAATTCCTGGTGTTCCAGGTCTTCTTGGTGGTATTTAAACGTGTAGCATGTGAAAGACAGAGATTCTGTGAAAATGTAGAAAAGTTCCCACGATTAAAAATAAAAATAAACTGCTATCTTGCGCTGGTATTCTGTGAGAACGTGGTCCTACCCCGATCGAGCCGATCCATTTGTGCTTGGCGATGGATATGTGTATGGACTACAGCATCCACTTATCATCAGGTGGACTGTGGGCCCGTTTGGCATCCTTATGGTATAAATTGAATGAATACTGGGTGGTCAGGAGGTGCGTTTGGAGCGCGACGTGGTGCATGCTCGCATGTCGGAGCAGGCGCTGCGCGTGTCGACGCTGTCGGCGCAGCTCGCGCGCCAGCGCCACGCCGCCGACGCGCTGGCGCACGCCGCCGCCAGCGACCTCGGCGTGCAGCTGCACGACGCCACCGCGGAGGTACGCACTACACGCTACACACTACACACTACACACTACACGCTACACACTACACACTACACGCACCGTCACACTAAATGCGCACCGTACGACACTACACGCACCGTGAGACAAAACATGCACCGTAAGACACAACACGTGCCGTGTGACAAAACACACACTGTGTGACACAACACGCACCGTGTGACACAAAACGCACCATGCGACACAACACGTACTGTGCGACACAACGCGTACAAAGCGACACACAACATGCAACGCCTGACACAACTCGCACCATGAGACACAACGTGCACCGTGAGATACAACACGAACGAACGTCGTAACTGACTAGTGCGAAACTATTAACTGCTTTCCAACCCCCTTGAGCGTTGATATGGTCTACTTTTAAAAGCAGCACTAGTCTGTTTAGGCATATTTCCAGCCGTGGGACATAGGTATGACGTGTAACTTTACAAACTAGTGACTTATTTAGACTAGAATATAATCAAAACCGGAAAAGATTGTTGTTTGTTATCGCTTAAACGGAAATGCACTGTTGCACACAATTACTGTTCCCTTTCTCCTTTAATATCAAATTCTACAATATCTATTCTATTATATAAATAAAATTCATAAATTAGTATCTAAGTTAAGATGAATCCGAGGCGAATTGCTCAGCATTGAGTTGCGCCGCTGAGAGCCGCGTGTTCGTAACCCGCACGGAACAAGTATTTGTATAGCCTACAAATAGTTGTTCCGGATCTGGATATTTGTCCTTGTGCAATTTATGTTTGTAAACAGCTTCCACGACACAGGATATTTTTTTTAAAAAAAAGAAGAAAAAAAAACCAAATTAATTTATACGTGGTAGAGCCATGCTGCAGCTATATTAATTGTATAATTGTAGCACGAATAGATCGGCTCGACCGAGAAAGGACCACGCTCTCGCAGAATACCAGCATAAAATAGCAGCTTAATGCTACTGTGTTTCGTATGGATTTTCCAGTAAAAAGACCCTTTTACTGGAAAAGAAGCATTCCATCTTAGTCCTCATGACTGACACCACATCTGCATTTTGACTCGCAAACGAGCATAGATGTAGATGTCTATCGGCCACAGCAACCACGTACCATCTGGTGGACTGTATGCTCGCTTTTCACCCTTATCCCATAAAAAATATGTTCACAAACAGACATTGCTTGCGCCATGGTACGTTTGTTTGTGGAATGTGTGTGTTAAATGTCTAACAACTCATTGGAATGTCGAAATTGTTGACAATTTTCATATCTGAAGCACTTTTATGGCCAAAACTTACGATAATATGTCTGTCTGTATCAGATATAGTATCTAATAGCCTTCTCAAGGTCAAAGGCGTTAAAAATGTTCCCACTTCATCATTCTGTAGAGAGTAAACCGAAATTGTTATTTCTAAAGGTACAAAGGTTAAAAGAAGAATTGGAATCAAAAGACAAGCAGTTAGCGAGGTTGAAACAGAACTTGGAAGAGAAGAGCAAATCAGAGGAACAGCAACACGATGCTCATGGTGATGCAAGTAAGTGCTAAGTCATATATACTTAGTATCTTTAAAAAATCTTTTAAGAATTATTAAATTATATACTGAATTTATTCTTTCAGTACAGTATATCAAAATTCCACTGTTGAAAAAAGGCCTTCCTCATAGCTTGCCTCACAAAGGCGATATTTGCCATAATTGTATGGCAGGCGGGCTTGCAATCGCAAGTTTTTGTATTTTGACATATGATTGTTTTCAATATATTGATCTATTTTGTGCCTTGTTACCACGTTTTTATATACTCTCTTTCTTCTCAGTTTCTCTGATTGGTACAAATTTTGCAATTGTTTTTAAAATAAGTTCTCGATGATTTTGAGACTTGAAATTATAAACATACATATCTGTGAACTCGAAATTTGGTACACTAGTCTTAGTTTATATCCTATATGACTTCTATAACTAAGACAATTCTAACGACACTACATATGTTAAGATTCATCAAGCCATTTAGACTACAGAGCGTGCCAAAAAAGTAGACATACTTTAATACCGATCCGTCACAGCAACCAGTCTTCAACGAAGACTAGCCATCTGCGCAGTACAGGATTATCCTACCCAAGTATTTGCACAAGCACAGGTGCACTTTCTATTCCCGCACTCTCATAGTCCGATGGGACGGTAATCCGACACGACCGGAGAGATATCAGGCGCAGGACCAACTTCTTAAAGTGCTTTCCGGGGCACGGGCTTGAATCAAACAACGCCAAATTCCTGACTCCGGGCTACTGCTGAGAATTTCTTGACATAAAAACCCAATAACTGATTCTGTCCCGATCCGGGATTCGAATCCAGGACCTCACGATTAGCAATCAAGTTTACGACCACTAGACCAATGAAGCAATCAAGAAGACATACATTTATTTATTAATTAAGGACAGCCAACAAATCTTACACCAAAAACATTAAATTCTTAAGCTATCATCTAAGATTTAAGCTAAGCGCAGATTCAATTACAGGCTGCCACGACTTGCAAATGTGAGTGTTTAATGTTTATTAAAAAGTAATAAAATATAAAAAAACTAAACTTTTCCAAAACGAATCCGTACTCAAACTTGCACCTAGAACTAACTTTTTGAATTTAGAGAGGCTATTTGAAAAAATGTCTACGTCCGTTTTTTCTGGAGTTCATTGTATTGTCGTTGCAGCCTGTTCATGATCGCGTGATGGCCGAGATTGCTTTTGGATCCCTTGGTAGAAAATGGTGTGTATTTCCCTTTTCGCGAGTTTTATAGGGTATATTAAACCGAAGCTGTTCCAACAGTCCAGGGCAATCCAGACCACCTCTTACAATTTTATATAAAAACAAATGATCTAATATAAGCCTCCTATTTTTTAAGCTTTTAATTTTGAATTTTGAACTTCTATCAACGTACGAAGGCAACTGCTTAGCTAGACCGGATTGAGATGAGACATGCCATAAAAATCTTTTCTGCACACGTTCTAGTTGCTTAACATATACTTCGTAGTGTGGTGACCAAACCGGGCTGCAATACTCCAAAATCGAACGAACATATGCGTTATATAATAAAGTTTTAGTGGCTAGTTTTAGCTCTTTACAGTTACGAATTACGAAACCTAGCATTTTGAAGGCCCTAGATGTTATGTCTTCAATGTGTTTGTGAAATCGAAGTTTTTTATCCAAAATAACGCCTAGGTCCCGGATAGAATCTACCTCTTTAAGTTGTTTTCCATTGATGTGGTAAGAAGTTGATGCTTGCTACCTGTGCCGTGAGAATCTAATAAAATTACATTTATCAACATTTAGTTCCATTTGGTTTTGATCGACCCAGATTGCTAGATTATCAACATCCTCTTGAAGAAGCACAACATCAGTGGCTGAGTTGATTTCTCTACAAATTTTTAAGTCATCTGCAAAAAAATAGACCTTTGAGTATTTTAAAACCGAGACTATATCATTTATGAAGGTGTTAAATAGGATAGGGCGAAGATGAGAACCTTGGGGTACACCTGAAAGAACTGGCAGTGGATCAGAAGTAAAACCTTCTAGGACTACATTTGCCACTCGACCTGATAAATAGGAAGAAAACCACTTAACCAATCCATCCGCGAAGCCATACTCTGCCAGTTTTGTCAGCAAAATACCATGGTCCACTCTATCAAAAGCCTTGCTGAAGTCGGTGTAAATAGTGTCAATTTGATTGTTCTTGTCTACTGACTGACTAATATCTGAAACAAATTCAGCAAGGTTCGACGCAGTCGAGCGATTCCTTACGAACCCAAACAGTCGAGCCGTGATAAAATGTTTAATGTGCCAGGATAAAACAGGACTAAGAAGTGATTCGAATACTTTAGCAATGATTGGTAGCAGTGAAATTGGTCTGTAGTTTTTATTAGTTTATCATCACCAGACTTAAATACTGGCACAATAAGGGCTCTCTTCCAAACTGTAGGAAATTCCCCTCGACGCAGTGATTCATTAAAGATCAATGAAAGCGGATATGACAAACACTCTGAACGGTGAATTAGAAACACCGGAGGTATCCCATCAGAACCAGCACTCTTTGCGGGATCAAGTTTCTTTAGGGCAAGTTCAATTTGTCGCGGTGAAAATAAAATTTCCCCAATACTATAAGTGCTAGTCACCACTGGTGGGAGAACCACTTGTCTTTTAGCAGTTGAGGGCACACTATAAGCTAACATGAAGCAAGTGGCAAACAGATTAGCTATATCCCTTCTAGAATCAGTCGTCTCGCCATCATAGTGCATTATAGAGGGGAAATTACTACTGTTAGATTTTTTATGTTTCATGAACGACCAGAACAGTTTGGGATTCTTAGAGAGTGAGTTTTCTATGTCAGATAAATATTTTTATATGACAACGTGATTAAAGAGTCACACCTCTTCTTCAAGGATTGTAAGTACAACAGGTCAAGAGGGTTATTGTATTTTTTAAATTTCATTCGATATTTTTGTTTTTCACGAAGAACTTGAATTAAACCTTTCGTTTACCAAATAGGATATTTTGTGTTTTTCGGTTTGCACAATGGAACATGACTAGTTATAACCTCACTCACTATGTCATAGAAACGTTTAATTTTGTCTTCTAAATCTAAACAGCCACGAAATTCTTGGTCCCACGAGGTACCCATAAGACTCGAAACAATTCCCTCATAGTCCGCCTTGTAGAAATTATGTCGGGGTCGGCTACTTTTACCTTTAAGTTTCGTGTCAGTTCGCATTGATAGGGAGAACTCTAAAATTGGGTGTAATGGGTCTATAACGCTAAGGCTGCATGTGCTGTTTGTAGGTTTAGCAACCTCAAGGTTAGATAATATCAGATCCAAGATTTTATTTTTACAATTAGGGATGTCATTATACTGTTTTACGTTATTTAAATTAATAAAATCTATTAACATACTATTAAGAGTGCCCGCAGTACTCGAGTTGCATATCATGCAGTTATTGTTCCAAACTAAGGAGTTCATATTGAAGTCACCTACAATAATTGTATTCGTTTGTGCCTCCATATTACGATTAGAGTTATTAATAAATTCAGCTAACATTTCTTTTTGTGCAGGAGGAGGTAAATATACTGAACAAAAGTGTATTTTTTTCAGTTTTGAACGGTGATTTAAAAATCATGGCTACCCATACATCCTCGGACAGGCTTTCATAGGACGAAAGTCTATAAGAGGTGATATGTTTTGCAACGGCAATAAGTACCCCGCCGCCCTCTTTTCCCCTATGAAATCCACTAGTACATACATACACTCTAAAAACAAAATCCTCCTTCTGGGGCAGTCGGGTAAAAATTGTTGCCATTTTGAACTATATATACTGCACTATATATGTTTACTATACTCGTATATAATTAGCAGAAATTTAAAAAAATATTCTACTCGACAAACACAGTTCGAGTGTAAAATGTAGATTGCACGTTGGTGTGCAGATCGTGTGGAGGAGAAAGTGAAGGTTGTGGAGCGGTCGCTGTGCAGCGCTCAGCAGCGCTGTGCGCAGCTGCAGGCGCAGCTGGACGCGCTCGCTGCAGACAACAAGCAGCTGCGCGCCGCGCTGCTGCAGCGCGACCGCCAGCTGCAGGACCTCGTGGGTCAGTACGCACGCACGCACACGTATACGCACACACACATAAACGTACACTGCTATTTCATTCAATCAAATTTTCCTTCAAACAGTACCAATACGAAAAATTCAACAATATTATCATGCTTTAATGTAATTATATTTAATAAAGGCTGACTTCAAAAAATTTATTTGGTTTTACATGCTAAACTTAGTCATTCTAACATATACACACATACTACGTATGCTATTATATTATATTATTATATATGATATTATCCGCCTATAAATCATATTGTATGAAGTTTAATTAAATAAATAAAATAAATTTTACCATTTTATTGTACGATAAACATAATGGAAACGAGGCATTCCATCTTAATCCTCAGGGGTGACATTCATATATTGCGACAATAAATGTAGATATCTATGGGCCACAGTACTGAGAATGAGAAGTTATGTGGGCAGCCAGCTGTACATGTCAACGTTGGAGTCACACGCAAGTGTGAGTAACGATCCAAGAGCAAATCTTATCCGACCCCATTCGTGAGTCTTGAGTCTTCATAAAGAAAGAGTTCGGCATAAAGAATCCCTCTTTTTCCATAAGTCAGCCAGGTGCTGCCCTATTCAGTTTCGTTGCGCTATCCCGAATTTCCCCACCTTAGCTCCTTAACTTAGCTTAACAGCGTATAGTGGGTTTGGTAAATACTGTATTGACACAATCCCGGATATGACAAAAATTTAGTGAAGTCAAGAAAACTATAATATGACAAATACGAGAATAGGCCGAATTAGGTGGACTGTTTGCTCGTTTATCACCCTTATAAAAAATAACATGTACCTATAACCCCAATACTACAATTGTGTTTTACATTCAAATAACTGTGAATATGTCATTGCTATTAATTTTAATAGCTTTTATTAGCTAAACGATTGTAGAAAGTTAACTAACTCCATTTACTTTTATACGGATACAATAAATTGTCATTGTACCATGTTAAACGAACACCAACTACATTTCATTGCAATAGAGCGAGCCAAACGCTTTGTCCGCTAAATTTCGCTAACAGGATAATATTGTGTATTCACTTAGCTCGAATTGCAAAAACGGACCTCTATTGTTGCTTTTAAACTAGATACCTAATCGGTGGGTTTCACTAAATGTCTGGTGTGTTGCTAACGCCTGTAAAACATATTATATTACTTTGGACAATTTTCAAATTTTTGAACTTAAATACGTTGAGTCCACTACTTTTATTATATGGAGAAGAATATAGACTTCAATATCCAAATATATCCAGTACTGTATTAGATAAACTACATGACCATAAGTGCTATACAACTGACACGACCTGGAATTAACATTACCATTACAACCTATTAAAAGTTCATTGCTTAATATAGGTCTCCCCATAGATTGCCTCATCATCATCATCATTACAGCCCTTCACAAGTCCACAGCTGAACACAGGCCTCTCCCAAGGAATGCCACAAAGCACGTTCCTGAGTAACCTGCTTTCATCGACTTCCTCATAGATTGCCTCGTTGGGCATATTTCCATTTGTCCTCATATTTGCCATATTCCCAACGCTTGGCAAGTGGGTTGGCAACCACATTATTTTTGTATTTTGCTGTTATCAGGAAGATGCTGTTGCCCATCTTCTGATTCAGTTTCCCCTCTGTCGACACCCACTAGATGACGCTGATGTAGTGAATATTGTTACACTGATACTACACAATGATACTACACTATAATAAGTTAAAATTGAACAATAATATTACACTGTGTTGATTTAAGTATTTCATTTCTATATTAAATATTTTACTAGTAGTAACTAAGTAAATAATTCAATCATAGTCGTTTCACTGGTGCTTAAATTGTATAAAATAATAAATACTTCTCTTCCATTTATGTCTATGATTGTGGTGACAGTTTTTCAGGCTTCAAAATTCGTTACGCTCCTAAATGTTTATTTCTTGAATTAATTAAAAAAGTGCAGTTTGATTAGTTCAATAAATAACCTACCTGTGCCTTATTATTTTTTTATCCATTCTTGTTTTAAAAATGCCGTCAATGTTAAAATTATCATATATTTATCACAATTGTTTGGATGCCCTCCAACTTCTAGTTGTTATGTAAGTAGGTTATAAATTAAGTCGGTCTGGCTAGACTGAGCTGTCGTTTTAAATTTAGATATGGTTCATTCATTCACAGCTCTCAAACTAGAAGACGACGACCAAAACCAAAAGAGCGAGCCTGCAGATGGAAAAGCATCGGGCAGGACTCTGAGCGATATTGTCTCAATCTCTGAGTTCGACGAACAAGACCTTCAAATGCGCCGCGCAGAATTAAAAGGACAAAACATTAGCTTGACCGGCGCACCGTATGTAACAGAAACCAGAGATAAGAGCCAACTAAACAGGACGTTGCCACCGGACTTGCAACGACCTAATATGAGTTCGTTAAACCTTGACTGCGGGGAACATTTCGACGTTATCAATTTTACGCCACGCGCTGATTCTCTCCCAATACACTTAACATCCACACAAAATAGAGACGGTGAATACAAAAGAAATACTAATGAAACTACTGTGTTCGGAAAGGCAGAAAGATCTGTAGATACTGAAAGACACTCTCCTCAAAATATACCGGATAACTGCTCGCTCTATCCCAACAGAGATATCAGTGACAGTAAAAATGTAAGTGTAGAACCGAAAAAGATTAATTTCTCATTAGAAGCTTCAGATAACAAAACGCAAGATGAAGATTTCACGTCACTCAGAGAACTGGGCATATCTTTGGACATGAGACAGGAGAATTTTCCTGACATATTGACACAATTGAAACATGAGCTCAAAAAAACCAGAAACGAACTTGAAAGTTGTAAATCGGAATTGAAGAACGCTGAAGAACAATTATGCGAGTTTCCAGCTTTGAAGGAAGAAGTGGAAGAGTTAAAGGGTCTTTTAGAGAATACGATGGCCACCATGGAGAATGATAAAAAGTTTTATGAGAATCAACTAGAAAATTTCTCATCAAACAAAAAGCTATTAGAACAGAGACTAGCAGAATTGACTCAAGAGGTCAGTGATAAAACTAAAGACTTGCATTTGCTTAAAGAGGATATACTCAGAAGAGAGAATATGATTTTAGAATTAGCTAAAGAGAAACGCAATTTGACTAACAAATTGACTGAATTGGAAGTTAAAATTGACGAGCTACAAAGCAGAAATGAGACACTAGGAAAGTTTGAAACTGAGACTCATCAATTGAGAGAAAAAATTAAAGAGCTAGAGAAATTAGACCAGTTAGTGACTGAGAAGAATCAACAGATTGATAGCCTGAACCAACATTTGGATAGATTGGACGACTTGCAAAGATGTCTTAATGATAAGACCGAAGAGTATGATAATTTAAAAGAAGCCTTTCACGAAAAGTCTAATGAACTTTACCAATTGCAAGGAACAGTCGATGCTTTAAATCGTGACATGAATAGAATTAGCGAAGAAAACAATGAACTCAAGAATTATAACAAGGAACTTAATCTGAAATTGTCCAAACTGGAGAAAGAACAAGAAAATGCATCTCTAAGATTGCAAAATAGTGAAAATGAACTTGAAAGGGTAAACTCTATGAACAGCGAATTAACGTCGAAAATTGAAGAACTGAAAACTATAAATGAAAAATTAAAAGACAAAGAAACTGAAATTGAAATCCTTAACGAAGACATAAATTCATATCACAATGAGATTGCTTCTCTGAAAGAGCAGTTGAAGATGGTTTCGAGAAGTCCATCTCCAAGAAGCAAAAACGTAGAGGACAGGAAAACACCGGACCGACAAGCGAACAATGACAGGAAGCAGTTGGCGAAGATTAGAAAACAGATTTCTTTGCTTCAACACGAGCTAGATTTTAACAAGAAAGACCTAAATGATAAGGTAAGTCGTTTAAATTTTTGTTACTTATTCAAGACTTCATTTGAAAACAAAGTAATATATGTATGTATTTTTAAAAACGTGTTATATTATCGACGGTGGTGTGTCTTTTCTAGTATAGTAGTGTTGGGAGTACTGGTGGTGGGATTGGTGGTGACGGGGATAGTGCACACAGTTGAAGGAGGGCGGCAGATTCTCTTCAAACTAACTAAGACATCTTTTTATTTTGTTACGTGGATCTTAGCAAATTATATTTTAATGCTGGGGCCACAGTAACGGGAAACGTCAACGCCCATAAACGCAACGATTATTGCTTTAAATTTAACGGGATATAGTGAGTGGCTACACTTGAACAGTCAACGTTTGAAATTACGTTGACTGTTTCAATGTCATTGAACGGCGTTAAAGTTGGCGTTAATGTTCCTTGAATTTCAAGCAAGATGGATGTTGGCGGTGCTAGTCTATATTTGAGGAGTGTACATTTTTATTATTTCTATAATAACCCACTAGGCTTTCCTGCTTCTTTTAATTTTTTCGATAGTTGTTTTAAAAGGTAATAATTGTATAATTCGTCGCCAAGCATCATTTTGCGAGATACGACTCTTAAACAATTTGAGTCTCGGATCCCACAAACATGGCTCTGTTTGCAGAATCTGAAGAAACGTAATAACTTTTTCATTATTCCACTCTATCATAGCCATACGTGCGACTCCGTTGTGCGTACCGTACACAGTGAGACAAAAGTAGTGTGGCCGCGCGCAACGCATTGTTTCGTGCGTCAATCTCTTTGATGTACCGCCACTCGAATTATCGCCAAACGGCAAAGGGCATTATTAATGCCGTTGTCAAACTAACGCGTTAAGTCGTGGCCACACCTACATTCAACGTCCATCAAGGCGATACTTAACGGCATTTCTCGTTAGTGTGATCCCAGCACAACAACTTTAATATTTTTAAAAAGCTAAATAGAACCGTACAGCGAGGAAATGCAGCCAGCGTTCTTGGCACTATATCGCCAGTAGTAAGGCTGTATGATAATTTTAGTTTTTAATTTTAGTATTTTAATGAATATAAAAATATTTTAAAATTTTGTTGAAAATGTATATTTTGTGTAAAATATATTAAATATTGCTTCGGTTGTGTTTCATATTACAACAGATGGTTTTTAATTATTTCATAGGCCTTCGAGTTAGCAAAAGCAAAATTAGATGTGACTGAGTTAAGGAATAACGCAAGCCAAGCAGCTAAGCAAGTTTCAGACAAAGAGGCTGTAAATAGGGAACTGATGAAGCAAACTGAAGCGCTAAAGCAAGAGATACATCAGTTAGTAGAAGAGAAGCGACAGTTAAGTGAACAGTTGGACATTGTTGTTGCCAGGTAATATGTTTGGCAGATGCATAATTTTGTTTTCATACCGTGCAGTGGCGTTTTAGGAATATCCACTACCCCATATCATCCTGTGGATGCCGTGAGAGAGAGGGAAACGAATCAGGAGATGAGCTGCAGCGTCCACTTAATAACGACTAAAAATAAAATACCGGTTGCCAATACGCTTGCCAAATGTGGCAACTATGGCGAATATCCCCCCTATGAGACAATCCATGGCTAAGGCCTAAGTTCAGCCGTGGATTTTAATACGCTGTAACGGTAACGGTATAATTTTGCAATTTAGGGGTCCGCATGTTGAAATGTTTTTCACACCTTAATTTTTTTCAGAATGAGAGAAGAGTCAAATGTGAGTGAAATAAAGGCCAAATTGCGCGAGAAAGCCGAAAGTTGTCATGAATTAGAAATGCAGCTTCATGAAATGAGGGACATGGTTGACCGGTTAGTGTCCAAGGTTCAAATACACACATATAAAAATTAATGGTTAATGTTTATAGAATTTTTATTTATGTACACCCGATTGACTTCAAATTTAGCATATTATACTCCTTTTTCGACGGAGACACCCACTTAGATAGGATTTTGGAAAATTCAGTTATTCAATAAATTAAATTAAAAATTTTGTACAGCCGACTTCAATATAAGTTATTAAGAATAACTCAATAACTATTGGTCTAACCTTGATCAAATTCATATGGGACCACACGAGAAGTATCAGTTTTCAAATAAAAAAAGAATCGTCGAAATCGGTTCACTCAGTAAAAAGTTATGAGGTAACACATAAAAAAAGAAAAAAAACATACAGTCGAATTGAGTACCGTCTCCTTTGTGGAAGTCGGCAGAAAGGTATATTAGTGTTGTGCACTAAGTGTAATAAAAATGCTATAATGTGAGTGTAATATAAACCTGCGGCGGCCAACCCGTCTGTAAAACGTGGCAACTTTGGCAATTATCCCTCATATAAGGCAATCTTTAGGGGCAGCCTATGTTCAGCAGTCGACTTATGATAGGCTGTAACACTAGCAACTAAGTATGCGATCAGGCTTTATCCTGGTCGCTTTGGTCTAAATTAGCAGAGAATTGATTAAACTTTGCCTTTTTTCTTTTGTACAATGATTACAGACGAATCTTCTTCTTCTTCTTCTTTATTCTTTATTAGCCCGTAAAAGTCTTCTGTTGTAAATGCTATCTTGATTGTGATGCTATACTGGCGGATTGGATGTTGCAGTACCAGATGTCTTGCTGCTTTGACGTTGCTGACCGATGTGTGTGATATTTTGGTTATTTTACGTCTAGTGTACGCATGTTAGAGCAATGCTGCAGCTAAATTATGGTTGTTCACGTTCTCACAGAATATCAGCGTTAAATAGCAGCTTAATGCTGCCGTGTTTCGTATGTTAAGTGTAGAGGACCGGAGACCCTTTTTATTGGAAACGAGGCATTTCATCCTAGTCCTTAGGGTGATTTGACCTTTGCTTTTCGGCGCTAACTCAACATAACAAATCTTTGATTCTTTAACTATTGAGTGGTGTAATTAAATTTTGGACGTAGATAATAGATGATAGACAGCTGCAACACCAAACTATATCCCCCGGTTTTATTATTATCAGTTTTCTGTATTGCCTCCCACTATAGAAGTAAATTTAAACACGTATTCTATATAGCTATGAAGAGGGCTATGCTTGGGGTTTCTCTGCGTGACACTTAAAAATGAGGGTATCCACAATAGAACCAGAGTAACTGACATAGCCCAACGAATTAGTAAGCTGAAGTGGCAGTAGTCCGGCCATATAGCTCGAAGAACCGACAACCAATGGGGAAGAAAGTTTCTCTAGTTGCAAACAGGCAGGTGAAATGTAGGGCGGCCCTCTACTAGATGGAGTGCGACGTGGTAAGACATGCAAGAAGTCGATAGATGCAGGTTGCTCAGGAGCGTGCTTTGTATCGTTACTTAGGTGAAGCCTATGTTCAACAGTGGACTTGTGAAGGGCTGTAATGTTAATTCATCATGTCAAAATGTTGTCGATGTTGATAAGCGCGTGTGCTTGCAGGCGGGGAGCTGCGCGTTCGCCCACCGCTGAGCTGGAGCGTGCCCTCCGGGACCAGCTGCACTACTCGCACGCACTCGACGACCACATCATGGACCAGGTACACGCACTGCAATCTTTTCCTCTATCTCAACGTGTACACTTACAGACTGTGACACTTTGGTCGCTCTAGTGCTTTGTGTCAACGTCTTTTTCCTTTTTAACATTGATTATAATAAAAAGTTAAAAATTTCTTAGAACTAGTTAAAATATATTTATGAGAAATATTTACTAGGTGGTAGGACTCCTTTCTTACCCAGGAGTTCGTTTGGGTAGGGACCACGCTCTTAACTATTTCTGCCGGCAAATAAGAGAGAATGATATATATATATATATATATATATATATATATATATATATATATATATATATATATATATAATATAAATAGTATATAAAATATTATAAGAAAAGAGCTTAAACCATATAAGAAATATGATAAAAAAATTTCTTATAAAATATTATAAAAAAAAAGCCGGCAACGCATCTGCAATTCCCCTGGTGTTGCAGTTGTTCATGGGCGGCGGTAGTCACTTACCATCAGGTGAGCCACATGCTCGTTTACCCCGTATCCTATAAAAAAAAATAGCAGTGCTTGCATTGCTTCGTATGAAGAGTATAAAGAGCTAGTATAATTGCAGGCATAGGTCATCTTAGTTATTAGAGGTGATACCGCCGCTCTAGCCTCCTTTATTTAAAGTTGGCTGCAGGTGTCCATAAAACAGTATCTGAGGCCACGGCCGTACTTTTCTCGAAGCAGTTCAGGCCATTTTCGACCTCCTATAACTTTGTTGTAAATTAAACTAGAAGCCTGAATTTTCAGTAACCAAGCTTGCATTGTATAAACACGGTATATTTCAAATTTCTTTAAATTTGAACCAGTAGTTTAAGAATTATTACTAGTCAACGTTTCTTAATTTTGTCACTCACTGACTGACCGATCATCAAAATTCTAAAGCACTTCTAGCAGACGTAAATGCTTCAAATTTAGAATGCAATTAGTGTTTAGTGTATAAATTAAGGAAAAACTAAAATATATTGTAATTTCAGTCCAATTTTCTAGATTCAATAACTGCATAAATAACTTTGTAATCCCATATAAAAACAAAAAGTTTCGCCTTTAATAAATCTTAGTAACAGCTACAACGTTTTTTATTAATAATTTTTTTTTTGTATTTTTGTCAACCGTACTAACCATCGACACGTGGCATCATAACGTCATCGGCAAACTTTCTGCGTGCGGTTAAAGCACAATATTCCATGTCTAATGTTTCAATATTGTATTATGGTTCACTTGCAGATACTATCGGCAAGCAGCGACGAACGGGAAGACATACCGCGTCTCGCTTTGAACACTTCTAAGTAAGTAGCTATACTATAATTTGTTGCAGTAGACTTTAAGCTGACATAATATACATAGCTGAAATATGTCTAGTGATTGTAACAAAGATATATTTAATTTAGGTTTATGTTTAGAATTGTTTTATAACAGATATTTATTTTAATACAGGTCATCGAGCTCTATCCACTCGACGTCTTCGGATCGTGTGGGTCGGCTGCGAGCTGAGAATGAGAAGCTGCAGATGCAGGTTGAAAATCTTGAGTCCAGGCTTAAGGACAAAGATGCTTTAATAACAGAGTTGAATCGGTATGTTTCCTATTTAGAATGTTTACTATCAGTCATCGAGAAGATTATTATTTAATGAAATATTAAAATAACATCTTCCACTCGTTGGGACACAAGCATAATATCCCCTCATGTGCCCGACTATTTTATGTTTATACGCTTCAAGTGTCAGGGGCCATTCGAGAGGTCGCGCGATTCTGGTAGGCGCTAATGTAAACAATGATATCTTTTTAATTTTGTATGCCAGCTATATATAAAACTTATAAGCAATTAAGCTATTTAATTCTACTTTATAAATATTAAATTCATTTTTTATAATATTATCAATCTCATTTCAAAATTGCGTGACATAATTTTGCCGGTTTCTTGTACGTATACTGTAAGGATTATGAAATTAAGTCATTATATAAAAAGGTATTTGCTTTATTTGCATAACGATACTACATTATATCAAAAGATATTAAAAACTCACACCCTTCAATACATTTTTATCACACAACAAACTTTTTAATATCTATCTCATTTTATGCGGCAAAACAAAAACAGGTTAAAACAACCGAAAATGCTCAGTTCGAAAACGTTTGAAAACGTTACATTACGGCCTTGTCTTTGTAAAACGCTGTTTTAATCTTTGAACAAAATATATTAAAGACAAAGCGTGATTACTTGCCAAATGGGCACAAGGGGTCGGCTGACACACGGGCATGCATACGCTGTCAACCCCCTGCGGCTGCCATGACATATGAGAGGTATCGACGAACAGACAAATAGATGCCAGGAGTGATCTAGGCTATACTTAAGCCTTAAAACTTGGAAATATTTTTGAGGCATCGGAAAGTTGATAAAAAAATGGTCTTTGATGATTATTTTAAAAATCTAAATAACGCCACATAAATAGATCCTACCTAAGTGAAGCCGGGCCGAATCGCTAATATCTTTTATCTTTATATATAAAAATTACGTGTCACGTTGTTTGTCCGCGATGACCTCTTAAACTACTGAACTAATTCCAATGAAATTTTGCACACTCTGTGCAGTTTGGTCCAAATTGAGAGATAGGATAGTTTTTATCCCGATAAGTGGACCCTCAATATTTTTTTATTGCTAATTTCAGGAGTTTTTTTTTAAGAAAGCAAATGGTCGTCGGAAAGGGCAGAACAACGTCTGCCTGGCCAGCTAGTTTAAATATAAATTCAAAGACCACTTGTTTTGCACTTAATTTAAAAAAGATGAAAATTTCTCTTTCATAATCTTGAACTTTTGTAGTGCTATATACAAAGGCTTTTGTGGCATGTACAACATGATTGATATCAGCGTATGATTGGCCTTCTGTTACAGGATAAGAGACCAGTTAGTCCAGGACTGGCAAACGGTCAAGCTGCGCTACGAAGCCGAACGTGACAACTCGGGAAGACTGCAGTTGTTACTAGATTCCCAGAAGGAAACATCCGAAAGCTTACAGGTGTGTTTTTAGACAAGTACAAGTGACAGAAGATGTGAGCTATAGTCACTTGCATCAATCTACGTGGCATATGTGATATAGCCACGCTGCAGCTATATTATGATTGTAGCACGAATGAATCGGCTAAACAAAGTAAGAATCACGCTCTCATAGAATACCAGCGTAAAATAGCAGCTTAACACTGCTGGGTTTCTTATGGTGAGTGTAGAGAACCGGAGACTTATCACTGACTGTGAGACAACCATCTTAGTCCTCAAGGGTGACGACGCATCTGCACGTTGATTCTTAATTGAAGGTAGATGTAGGTGCCTATGAGCCACAGCATCCACTTACCATCGGTGGACTGTATGCCGGTTTGTCACTCTTATTCTATTAATAAATTACTTCTTCGATTCAACGATCAAAAGCGTTGTCTCTCCTGAGGATAAAGATGCAATGCTTTGTTACCACTAAAAAGGGTTTGGTTCTCGTCACTCACGACGGGAAACACAGTAACATTATGCTACTTTTTTTACGCTGTTTTTTTCTTCTTTCTCTAGTCAAACAGATTACTTCGTACCGCAATCAAAACGTATCGGCCTCGAATGATCATATTCTGATGTAATCCTTCAGATTTATTAACTTGAAATTGAGATTAAAATGCCTAACTTGATATTACTTCCATTGATACAGAATCAAGACTCAAACATGATCCAGATCCTGAAGAAGCGTCTAGAAAGCGCCATGCAGTCCGAACTTGAACTGCAGGAACGTGAACAAACGCTGAGGCGACGTGTCGCAGAGTTGGAAAGCGCTTTACCTGCAAACGGTGCTCGAGAATCCTTAAGGCACGAGGTAAATGCCTATTATATACTCCTATTAATCTAAAGGTAACTAACGTGGTTAACTTTTTTAAATATTTCTGCTTCTGTATTGGTTGATATAATGTTTTGCTTAAAATATATTACGTTCGTATGTAAGTATACTTATAATGCGGGTATTGTTTATTATTTAAAAATTGGGTACGCTATTTATCCGGTGTGGAGTATATTATTAGGTTATTTGTAGTAATATATAAGTATATTATATGTATGTTATGTATGTTTTATACATATGTATTGTATTTATATATGTATACATATTTTTATGTTTTTATGGCATCTGCTTAAGTTTAATTTAAATTAGAAAAATAAATGATACGAAATAAAATCATTATCATCGTCATCATCATCATCATCATCATCTCTACAGACCTTTAAAAGTTCATTGTTAAACATAGTCCTCCCACAAGGAATGACGGCTCCATGGCGCAGTGGCTTAGCAATGAGTTGTTGCTTCGGGGGCCGCGGGTTCAAATCCCGCACGGAACAAGTATTTGTATGATCTACAAATTCCGGGTCTGGATGTTTGTCCTTGTGCAATTTGTGTTTGTAAACTACCTCCACGATACAGGAGAAAATCCTAGTGTGAGGGTAACGTATTTTAAAGAGATTAAAAAAAAGTCACAAATGAAATAATATAGATAATAATTTATTAGTATTGTTTAGTTAGTTTTATTAACTAATACTTGTTCACTCAGATGGAGAGTGTGTATCGGCTCAAGAGTGAGATATCTGTGCTGAGATCTAAGCTGGAGGCTGAGCGCGGTCGCAGTGGCGAGGCGCAGCTTCAGCTGCAGGTGCTGCGCCTGCAGCTGGACCAGCGCGCGCAGTGCGCCGCGCAGCTGCGAGCAGAACTTGCAGACGTCAAGAGGTACTCAACCTTTTTGATAAAACAACTGACTAACGACTCTTTTTTCATGGGGGAAATGTCTATGCATATCGAGGCAACATATTACGTGATAGAGCCACGCTACAGCTATATATATGTAGCGCAAATGGATCTGCTCGACCGGGGAAGGACCACGCTCTCACAGAATACCAGCATAAAATAGCAGCTCAGTGCTACTATGTTTCGTTTGGTGAGCGTAGAGAACCGGAGACTATTTTTACTGGAAACGAGGCATTCCATCTTAGTCCTCAGGGGGTGACAACACATCTGCATTTTGTTTATTAATTGAGGATATGTCTATGGATCACAACGTCCACTTACCATCAGGTGGGCTGTGTGCTCGTTTGTTACCCTTATTCCATATTAAAAACTCTTATAATATCTTGTTTTAATAGATTAAAACACGACGCAGGCGTTGAATTAGCGAGGGCGAAAGAGCTGCTCAGTATACAAAGCGCCACCATCGTAGAGCTGGAGAAGAAACTTTCATCAACGACAAGCAAACAACGGCCCCTCAACGACACACTGGTTAGCTATACGCGTTGTTTTTTTTTTTTAATTAACTTAGAAAATCTAATAACAACAGCAAGTTTCCTTAAAAAGTGTTCTTAGCTGCTGGTTAGATTTTTTCAAAGGCTAAGTATAGCCGCTATTAGAAAAAAACGAAGCCAACGGTTTTTGCATGATACCGTGGGGAGGAGTAGGACTGTGTGATAATATAAGTTTATACAATATAATCAAGTGACATCCTGTAGAGGCATTGCAATTTAAAAAGGGACCGTTTTTAATCTTTATACTAAATATTAACTAATACTAAATATCTACTAACATATTTCTTAGCATTACTAGTTGTAATATATTATTTTCTATCGTCATCATCATTACAGCCTTTCATGAGTCCACTGCTGAACATAGGCCTCCCCCAAGGAATGCCACAAAGCACGGTCCTGAGCCACCTGCATCCATCGACTTCCTGCATGTCTTACCAGGTCGTCACTCCATCTCGTGGGGAGTCGCCCTACACTTCGCCTACCGGTACGAGACTGCCACTCAAGAACCTTTCTTCCCCATCTGTTGTCGGTTCTTCGAGCTATATGGCTGGACTACTGCCACTTCAGCTTACTAATCCGTTGGGCTATGTCGGTTACTCTGGTTCTAGTGCGGATATACTCATTTCTAAGTTTATCACGCAGAGAAACTCCGAGCATAGCCCTTTCCATAGCTCGCTGAGCGACCTTGAGCTTCCTCATCCGGCCAGCAATGAAGGACCACGTCTCAGTTCCGTAAGTCATCACTGGCAACACGCACTGGTTGTACAATTTCGTTTTAAGGTTTTGAGGTATGTCTGACGAGAAGATGTGCCTTAATTTCCCGAACGCTGCCCAGCCGAGTTGAATCCGCCGATTGATCTCTCGGTCGAAGTTGGACTTACCTAGTCGGACTGTTTGTCCCAGGTAAACATACTCGTCAACAACTTCGAGCTTCGTGCTCCCAACAACTACCGGGATAGGTGTGACATGGACATTAAACATGATCTTTGTTTTGTCCATGTTCATCCTAAGACCTATTCGTTAGGAGACACTATTGAGGATATTGAGCATGGTGCTTAGGTCTTTATTTTCTATAATTATTATAAATTCGTCGTACGCTATTTATTCGCATTTTTAAAGAATTCGCTTAAATTATAATAACTTTTATCACACCCATGGTCTCGTGGGCGACACCTCAGTTCCCCCCGTGACCATGGGTGCTATAAAGCACCCGAAACGTCTGGAATTAAAAAGTTAAATTAAACGCGAAATAATCCGTAAATATTAGTTTCATTTAACTTTTATCAGTTAAGAATGACTTGAATTTCTTCAAAAATACTTGGTATTATCTATATTTTTTAATTATATTTTAAATATTATAAGCAAGTGTTTGACCACTACCCCAACCTGATGGTAGGTGGTGATGCAGCCAGATGGTAAAGCGCGATGGCTTGCCGTAACAAAAGCCTGTTCATTCTTGCCTTGAAGACCCACATTATAATTGAATGAAAAGCCTTGACAAGTGCCCGAAACATGGGTAATTTAAAGTTAAAATTAAACGCGATTGAATTTATAAAATTAGTTTTATGTGTGGACGTTATTAATAAAGGCGTATTAATTACTTTGTCCATAACATATACATTGTACACAGAGTTCGGTGGAACAGCACAAGAGCTTAGCGTCGCCGCGCCCGTCGGGACTAAATGCGCCCGATGAGAAGGATCAGGCGGTGAGTCTCGTCTATACATTACTTTTTCATATTTACTAATTAACACCCCACCCCTGGGGTATGATGCTATGTAAGATACTCAAATAATGCCCAAATATTCAAACGATACTCTATTTTAAAATATCGAATAAATACAGCCTGGATCCCTCCTAGCGTTACTCAATATTTGTTCGTAAGGCTTTTTTATAGGAGAGAGTGCAAACGAGCATGCAACTCACCTAATGTTAAGTGACTACCGCCGCCCATGAACAACCGCAACACCAGGGGAATTGTAGGTGCGTTGCCAGCCTTTTAAATTTTCTTGAAGGTCCCTAAGTTGTATCGGTCCGGAAAAATCGCTGGTGTAATCACAATACATTCAACCGTTTTGAAGAAGAGTCCGGACAGACAGACGAAATTTCTTATAATGTTTATTTATGTCTTAATAGCATATAAAAAGCCTTGTAAGCTTGATAGAAATCAATTACATGTACCAATGTACCAATATTTCAATATAACAGACGTTTATCTGTAATATTGAAATTCTTCAATTTTATTTATATGTATTAATTGGACTCATACGGTAGTACTTTTGCCAATGTCATATAAAAACAAATTATTCCTTGTTATGATTTGTCTAAAAACTTCTTTAAAATTTGTGGATTGCAAACACATTGCAATGAGCAGTATCTCCAGGTGCCTAACAAACAAAATATCTTGAGGTTTTCATAACCATTAAAGTCCTTGTGTCATCGTTTCCACTAAGTTTATTACACAAAATCACAAAATTTTACTTATCATAGTCCATTTCAAATAATTATTTAAAACAACTAATTATTTAATACAAAAGCTGTAATCCGCCGGTGGTCAAGTCCCACCAAAAGTATAGCGTCCCACTTATTATCGTATTATAGCGTATTTGTATGTAGTGCTCAGCCATGGCGTCCTATTATGTAGGTAATTATAGCGTCACAAGAAGTGTTTGCGCCTATTAAAAATAAAATTTAACAATTTAGTATTGTCTGTGGTATTGCTTTGTGAACGTATGGCAAAAGGCATTGTATCCACTTTCTGATTTAACTTATGACTCGGTCTTTGACACGGCCGCAAAAAACAAGAAATTATCTATACTCACAACGTGGAAGTCGCCACGCCGAGTGGTCATGTTTTGACCATCACATCGCCGTTTATTATTTCTATACCGCATATCTCGTGATCGCATTATAAAATTGCCCTGGTGGAGTGCCTCAAACATTCAGCAATGGCAAGGAATTTGTGGAGCGCGCGTGCTGTGTGTGTGTCTGTCTATTTGTCTGCGGTTCACGAATTCAAAAATAAAACAACAGCTCAATTCGAATGACATACGGAACAATTACTGTGCCTTACAATTAATTTTCGATTATGAAGAAATTGTAAAGTGGGAAAAATGCTTTTTACATGTTTTACATTAGTTTTACTTGTATGTGTCTACGTATTACTATACTACGCAAAATTAGTGCATTGGTTTAACGTCAATAATCTACATTTAAACAGTAATAATTTAGTTTTATTATATTAAATTGACAACACCGAGTGTTAAAAATCTGAATACGCAATGTGTTTGCGCCTGTTATAGATACATTTTAATCATATAATAATGTCTGTGGAATTACATTGTGAACGTGTGACTTTTTTTATAGCAAAAGGTGACAAACGAGCACACAGTCCACCTGATGGTAAGTGGTAGCTGTGGCCCATAGACATCTATATCTATCCTCGTTTGCGAATCAAAATGCAGATGCGTTGTCACCCGTGAGGACTAAGATGGAATGCCTCTTTTCCAGTAAAAAGGGTCTCCGGTTCTCTACAGTCACCATACGAAACACAGCAGCATTAAGCTGCTATTTTACGCTGGTATTCTGTGAGAGCGTGGTCCTTCCCCGGTCGAGCCGACCCATTCGTGCTAAAACTATACTGTTAATATAGCTGCGGCATGGCTCTACCACGTAAAAAAAAAGACATTAGATGCAATCGCTTTCCGGGTTGACTTTTGACTCTGTTTATGAACACGCCCCGCAATAAAAATATAATAATCTGTGGGACAGCATGTGAAGACGCCGCGTTGAGTGGTTGTGTGTTCCCACCGCACCGCATCGCATATCATTGATCTTCTATTTAAGTGATTATGAACTTTTGAAGCTACCTTAGTGGAGTACTTTACATCGAACAACCGAATCTCTGATTCGGTTGTTTTACGTTATTTTGTTGTCGTTCGTGAGGTATTTTCAGCAGGCATTCCGCATTTGTATTTTAAGGTTATATTATTATCACCGCATATTCTTATTTTCCCGCATTTACCATGTATCAAATAAACAAAGAGAGTAAAACCAGAATGTGTTTTTTAATGGGGAAGAACTGACCCCGTTGAATCCACTGTTTTTCTTGGCATCACTCTCGACGTAAAGCTTCAGTGGGGCCCCCATCTATCTAAACTAGCAAGCAGACTAAGCTCTGCAGCTTCTCCTATAAAAAAAAGGTTAGAGGTCTCACTAGTGTTGAGACAGATAGTTTATTTCAGTTATTTCCATAACATAATGTCTTATGGGCTGATTTAGAAACTGTTTTTGTTTTGCGGAAGAGGGCCATAAGAACTATTTACAACCTAAAACCAAGAGAATCTCTCAGAGAAAAATGTATAGACATAAAAATATATTAACTTTGGCGTCTTAGTATATTTACGAAAATTTAATGTATGTTCACAAAAAGGTACTGGTAGCGGCACGAAAGTCTAGTGATAACCGTTATTGCGCATAAGTCGCGCTGATTGGCTCGTGCGTATCCTTCGCACGCGCTGATGGGCTCTCCAGTTGCATTGTGCATTTCAATTCGTGCGTGTCCCCTCCACGTTTCGTTCAGCGCTAGACTTACGTGTTGCGTCTTGTAGTTTTAGTAAAAAAACAAGTGATATACACTCTGCAAACATTAGAAAACACAAGTTAGTGATACCAGTGTTTCGACTTCATACTCAGTAATTCATTCTTGGGACAATGTATACCCTATTAAAAGTCCCAGAAAATATATAAGGCTTCCTGTTACCAAGTTTAAATATTTTTTTAAATAGAAACTGTATAATTAAGGGTTATTAATAACCCCTGGAAACGAAGAGGTCGCTTCCAAGCTGTTTCTAAAATAAATTATGTAAACAGTTTGTAAGATATAAGAGATATCGGATAATTTACTTTTTTTTTTAAAGTCCCGCTGGGTTTCTTCCTGGTTCTTCTCAGGACGGAATGTTTTTTCCGAACCAGTGGTAAAGTAAAAAAATCTTTTAGTAAAAATTACGTGTAAGCTATATTGAATAAAAATATATTATTATTAAAATATTATTATGTATGTATTTAATGGACTTTTCATTTCTCACTCACTTCGAGACGTCTGAATAATCTGAAATTTTGCAGACATATAAGAACAGATGGCAATACAATAATTTCATACCATGATCTACTACTCGTATTAGAATCGTTACAGTTAATGATTAATAATTTTTATAAAGTCTATAGGGGCATTTCACGTCCAGCGGACAGGGAAAAAAAGTGAGGTTCTGACATTTTTTATATTAAGTCAAGTTAGACTTCTAGTAGATATAAATACGAACACAATTTTTTTTCATATGTTGTGTATTCGTCTAGTTATGGGCTCGTAAAGAATTGTCTAAATCGAAATTGGGATTTTTTTGAAGAACTGTTTCGTATTGAAAACAATTACAATAAATTTTCAATCTACGCGATTTGTATAGAAAATTTCCTGATCTTTTTATAAAAGGAATCAAATTTGAAAATATTTTTTTTTAGTCTTCCAAACCGGAAGTAAACATTTCACAACAAAATTTTGGAAACTTCGACCATTTTTTTTAATTTTCTTATTTCAAAATATAGCTCAGAGTATCTAAATAATACAGCAGAAGTTTTGAAATGGGATGTGCATTAAAGAGATGGGTAAATTAATGTATGTACATGTAGCAGTCAGTATAATGTTAGGCGCTTGTTTATGTCGGATAATATACGAATTATGGAATTAAAACGCGACAGTATTAACATTTATCATTCTGTACATGTTTGTTGAAGCTCTAACAATAATTAGGGGTAGTTATATAAAAATAAAATAATATCAAGACATTGATAAAAAATATTTGAATAGCTACAAATATTAGCAGGAAGAAGTAAAAGATAATTTTATCTTTAGGTTATCAAAATACTCTTAATTTATTAAAGGATTAATTATTTAATTACCAATTGTTCCATTATTTTAATTTAATGACATATTCATTATCTCGATAGTAATTGTTATTGAAGTTCATTTTCAATCCCCTAAGGATCACGAAAACGTGACTAGTAACAATTAATTGGTTATTTTAGAAAGAGACAGAAGTATGACGCAAAGTCATTTTGTATTTCCGTTATTGTTTTATTGTTGCTCTGACCTCTTAGTAACTGGTGTTCCTAAGAGGTCAGAGCAATATAATGGCTCCGTACGGCGATCGATGTTTTAATCCATTTCATTTACCAAATCATCGTATCTGTAAAAGTTTAAGAGTAGTTCCTACAAGTTTACTGCAAATGCTTATGTGTGCGCATCTTGCAGGAAACGACTGTTAAATGAAAAGCCTTCAGTAGGTAACCTTAATAAAGAAGTGCAATGCAGTCAAATCATCGAGTGAATTTTCACAAAACATTCAAGACGGACTATTCATTCATAGTAAGTTTCAAAAATTTTGTTTTGAAATGTTTACTTCCGGTTTAGAAGACTAAAAAAATTATTTTTTTAAAATTTGATTCCTTTTTTAAAAAGATCAGGAAATTATCTATACAAATCGCGTAGTTTGAAAATTTATTGTAATTGTTTTCAATACGAAACAGTTCTTCAAAAAATGCTTATTCCGATTTAGACGATTCTTTAGGAGCTTATAACTAGACAAATACACAACATATGAAAAAAACTTGTGTTCGTATTTGTATCTACTAGAAGTATAACTGGACCTAATA